AGGAGTTCTCTGGCTTCTTTTTCATGGTGTGTGTGTTTGTGTGTGTGTGTGTGTGTGTGTGTGTGTGTGTGTGTGTGTGTGTGTGTGCACGTGCATTGCACTTTGTAAGCCAGGGCCTTGCACATGCTGATCACACACTCTACCATTATTCAACAACCTGACACCCTCACACTAATACCACTTTTGAAGCATTTAGAAAAAAACAAAACAAAACAAAACATACTCTCATATACGTCTTCTACAAAGAACAGCTCCTGGAACATCTCTGATAGTTAGCCTCCTGTTACTCTGACAAAAACACCTGGCATAGCTTAAAAGGAGAGAAGGTTTTTGTTGACTGATGGATTCAGAAGTTTCAGCTATAGTAATTTGACCCCATTGTTTCCAGGTGGGGAGGCAGAGTGCCATTTTGAGGAATAGGGCAGAGCAAAGTTGTTTATTTCCTGGTGTTGGGAAGAAAGACAGACCCTTTTCACTACCTCACAGTGACTTTATATTTATATATATTCAGCAAGGCAGTAAGACACTGACTAGATTCAAGTTCTTGAGATGGAATTGTTTCAAAGATACCCATCAGCTGGAAACCAAGTCTTAGGCACCGAAGTCTTTTGGGAAATTCTTTATATCTGAATTATGATAGCAACCTTTACGCCCGCCCTGGTTGTCTAATTGAAATTGCTGGCCTTTCCTTGTCATGCTCAGTAGAATTTTAGACTTGGTGAAATAAATCCTGAAGGAAATATTGAGAACAATAAAAAACAACAAAAACAAGAACACAAAACTAGTTTTGAAATGTTAAAATGGGCTTTGCCTCTGCATTCCACGTCAGCACACAGCAGTAAAGCTGGAACTGGATTTGAAGACCTCCTTTTAGATCCCCTCTGATTATAGTTGAGGAAAGTAAGTAGATCTGGGATCTCTTTGAGGTGTTACAAGGAAGACGATCTGATCTCCTAGTGTCTTTCTTCCTATTACACTGTCTCAGAGGCCACTGTCTGATGGAGAACGAGAATCTGTGAGTGCATGTTTAAGATGTTACTGCTTGGTATGCCTAGGACTAAAGTCTCCTGTGGAATTACTTAAAAACCTGCACCCTCTCTTCCTCTTTTGTTGCTTGAGAAACTGTTTTGCACATCCCACACCTTGGACAGGTCTATCACAGTCCAGTCTGACCCACGAAGACACCAGATGTACACAGGTTGAAAGGAAAAGGAAGGAATATGCTTTGGGTTTGTTAGACCCCTGGAAAACTCAGGTATCCGGAGTCCCAGGCCAAGACCACGGTCACCCCAATCACCAGGCAGATTTGAGAGCTTGCTGCAAACTGCATGAGGCTTTATTGTAATTTAACGAGCTAACCCCATGTTAGCTCGGGTCTTTCACCCACCCGCCATGGCGGATGGCTCGCAAAGACAGCTCCTAAGGCCTCCGGAGAGATCTTATAGGACAGCATAAGGGGAGTGTCTAGGGGTACGCACAGGCTCACGATTGGTGTGCTTCCAGGCTTGGAGGGCTTGCCCTGTGTTGATTGGTCAACTGGTTGTTATGACCCATTGGCCCTCCCAGGGTGGTTGCTATGCTTTGTGCATCATTGCTGTGCACTTGTCCGTAAAGCACACCCAGGGTCGTAAAGCATAGCACCACCAGCTAACTTCTGATTGGTTCCTTGTCACGAGGCAAGCATCTGACTTTCTAGTGACTAAGACAAGGTCATAGCAAGCACGTGTTCCGCTGTTATGGCTGCCGAAAGGGGAGCTGGTCCCTTCAGGTTAGTTTGAAGTTTGGTACTTTGAGTAACGGATTCTGCAACTTTGGGGAAATCACTAAGCAGTTCCTAAATTCTCTCTTTCTCAGGATCTCATCATCCGGTCTAGTCTGGCTCACAATCCTCCTGCCTCAACCCCCTAGGTGCTCCAGATTCCTTTTCTTTATGTATGAAATAGTACCACTAACCACTGGACTCTTGCAGGTCTTATGGTTAGGACCTAACATGTAGAAAATCTGTATGACAAAGTGGAGATGCACTCAGGGAACACTATAGAAGAGGTGGCAACAAGTCCTTAGGAGCCAGGGGTCTGCAAGCAAGTGTCTCCTGGACATGAAACTGCCCTCACAAACTCACAGAAGCTGTGGTTACCTGCACAAGACCTGGAGGGATCAAGCTAGTCTGCAGTACAGCACAGATGGGGGACAGGCTCACAAAGCCCCACTCCTCCCTGAGGAGTTATCAGCAGTGGATGGTCACCAAGCACAGAGATCGTCCTTTCTCATTGGTGTTTCTTGAGGCAGCTGATCATGTGCCACACCCATGCACATGAACACAGCTCTAATTAGATGGGTGGGATGCACTGGGAGGGGAGTTCGGAAGGATTGGAGGGAGAGGAAACAGGTATTGCATAGGACAAAAAAAAAAAAAAAAAACCAAAAAAACAAAACAAAACAAAAAAAACCCAAAACACTGTATTTATCCATCAGAGTATTAAAGAATAAATTTTTATAATTAAGAAATTTTAGAAAGAAGTTTGTTGCTGTTGCCTCTGTACCTGATAACAATTCAGGAGCCTGAGGAGCTGGTTTGAGGAATTGTCTGAGAAATGGAGATATGTAGAGATGAGCACTGTTAAAGAGAGGCCAAGGACTTTGCACTAGGACAGTGGGAAAGATATTCTGAGAGCACTTGTGCATTGACCAGGACTCCTTCCCACGCCCACAGCCTACCCCCTAGTTCAAAAGTATAATATTATAACTCTGTAGGCAGAGCTTTTCTGTCCTAAAGCCGCTCACAAAGAAACATACTGAGGCTTAATATTTTTTATAAATGTTCATACAATAGCTCAGGCTTATTACTAACTAGCTCTTACATTTTTAAGTTAACCCATATTGCTTATCTCCACTCTGCCATGTGGTGATTACTTTATTAAGGAAGCACAGTCATCTCCTGCTCCCTCTGCATCTGACTGGCGACTCCTCACAATCAGCCCTTCTCCTGCCCAGCATTCTCAGTTTGGCTCTCCAGCCTAACCTAATTCTGTTCAGCTATTGGCCAGTCAGCTTGTTTATTAAACCAATCATGCTGACAAATATTCGCAGTGTACAAAGGGATTACATGACTCTTTTCAAGAGGACATCTCTGAAAACCTAGATTGCACAGGTATGTTTAGGGTAGTTTCTCTAGGATTCTTTATCTTGTTCAAGTGGTAAGGCACTCAAGAACCACTGAAGCCAAGGCACAAGAGATTTTGACAAGTGGCAGACCATATGATGCCAGTTTTACAGGCACGCAGAAAGTGAGAGTTATAGGACCCTGGGGGCTTCAACCAAAATTTCAAAGGAAAGTGTAGGGCATACAGTGTGTAGCAAGTCTATAGTCTTTGTAGGCAGCCCCTGATAGTCACGCATGAAGCTATGAGAGTGAAACTGAATCTGAAATGGAAAACCTAGAAAGTCAGAGATGCCGGGAACATGGAGCATTGGCAAAGGGAAGCTGCAGACTGCAGGCAGAGCCAGCCTAAGACAGCTGCCATATGGGCTGCAGCCAGCACGACCACAGAGATAGGACTGCCATGGCCTCTGGAGTACACATCATGCCACTGTATATTCCAGGTGGCTCAGCTTTAGTCTTGCTTAGGTCTGATTCTCTACTCATTCTTTCCGTTTCTTGTATGTAATGTAATGAAAAATGCTTATGACATAACCAGGGAAATAAGCAGGTTATTCTCGTTTTGATGGGGCTTCGCAGCTGAGTTTTCATTGTCTTGAGGAGTCTGTGATGACCTGGTAAAGCTTTAGAAATTCTTAGAGATAGACTAAATGCACTTTTATTGTAATACGGGCACACACCTGTGAATCCAGGATAAATGCCTCCTTGATACCCACGTGCTAAAGACTTCGCTGCCAGCATTTGGCACTACTGGGAGGGAGCGGAGCCTTTAAGAACAAGGGAGAGTTGAGGTCTGGAAGAATGCTCTTCTTGGTGAGGACATTTGGACCTAGCACCTTCCTGTCTCTTTATTTGCTTCCTGGCTGTCAGGAAGTGAGAAACTTTGTTCCAATATTTATCCCTTACAACAGGGCTCTCCTTCCTCACAGCAGCCAACTGACCATGGACTGAAACCTCTGAAACCATGAACCAAAACAACACTTTCCACCTTCAAAGTTGCTCTCCTCAGACACTGTGTCACAGTGACAGAAAGCTGGAGGGAAACAAGCAGTGCATGCCACTGGCCGACAGCCACAGAGCTTTGTGCTCTCCACCGGCCTCCATAAACTCCCAGTGTACACGATGTCAAAGAAAACACCATAGTTAGGGTTAAAGTAACCAACAGCGTACTAAGAAACAAAACACCTTCTAGCTGGGCTTATGGCACACATACTTAAGCTCAGTACTTGAGAGGCAGAGGCAGGCTGATCTCTGTGAGTTCCAGGACAGCTATGACTACATAGGAAGATTCAGAAATCCAAAAATTAAACAAAAACTTCTATAATATGAGATGTTTTAAATCAAGGAACATAAAGTCTACAGCTTACTTATTTATTTACTTACTTATTATTATTATTATTTGAAACAGTACCCTGTCTCTACATAGTCCTGGCTGTCCGGGAACTCACTGTAATGACACACCTGCCTCTGCCTCCCAAGTGCTGGGATTAAAGATGTGTGTCCCCACGCCTGGCCACAGCTTTTAAAGGACTCTGCTGAGAGCTATGCTGTCATTGGCAAACATGGGCACTCTGAGGGCAAGCTGACAGTCTTGTTCACTTTCATTACTGCTGCCGCTTTACTTACTTAGGATGCTTTATTTGTAGGTGTCACTCTCCTTTTAGAACAGTGTCCCAAAGCTAAGTGTGAACCAGAGGTGAAGCTGCCCTTGGTGCTCAGACATCAGTGTCACTCAGCCACTACACAGGAGGATAATTTCATGATCTTAAAATTAAAATAGCACACAGAATTTATGTACTTTAAGCAACAGTGTATACGATAAGGAAAGGGATGGACACACCTGCATTGGTCCAGGGATGCAAGACAGAACCCTCTCTATGTTTTCAGAAGTCACATCTACATCATTCACGGCAACAAGGACATCACCTAAAAACAAAAAAAACAAACAAACAAACAAAAAGGACAACTGTGTGAATAGCCCAAACCAAAAAGTTCTAGAATTGTGACAGGAGAAACAGCTATCCAGACTTCCTCAAGGGTAAAATGGAAAATGTGGTACATTCAGGGACTTATCTAAGGTTATTCCAAATATTAGTGACACAGCCAATCACCCAGTTCCTCCATTATGCCTCCCAACACTGCACCGTAACTCTCTGAAAACCACAAATACTTAAGGATAAGGATATTCCTAGTCTTGGTGTAACTAAGAGTTATGTGAACCCAATGGACAAATGGAAAATTTTTAACATAAACCAAGTATTGCACTTAACAAAATTGAATCTAACCACTCAGACCCATAGTTAAAAAAAAAAAATCTAGCTTAAATTTTAATTAAATCCATGTGGTACATCCAAATGTGCTATGCTATTTGCTGCCACAACTGACTGGTGTCTACATAACAGGCCTTTATATCACAGCTTCTGACAAAATCGACATGTCAAGTATGGTTCAGTCAAAATCTTTCCCATGACTGTTCCTCAAATGCTTGTATTTATCTAATTTCAAACTCAAAACCACTATTAAAATTTCAAATTATTGATACACAACACAGCTCTTGCCCAAAGAGAGTAAGAATCAATTTATTCTTTGGTTAAATACGTGATCATGGCCCAGGAACATACAGATTCGGGGTGCCCCAAACATGTTCTTCTGTGGAAGTGGTTACATGAGCCAGAATAAAAGTTATTTGTAAACCAGCACAGTTACCACATTTACTGATGATGGTCCCAGGTAGGTGGGCTAGCATACCAGGGTAGGCGGGGTGGGAAGCTCCATAAGTATCAGATGCTTTCTGGGGACAGTCTGAACTTGGGGGTTGGTGGAAGCTTGCGCTTTGGTAAGAATACACTGCCAAAGCTTTGGCTGACAGTCAAAGGCTGTACATGGGCACACTGTGTGAGTTTAAAAGACAGATACAGGCTGGGTGATGACTAGAGCTTAATACTCTTTGATGAGGGGGAGTAAGCATGCCAGTGGGTAAAAAGCAAGCAAACAAAAAACCCCAATAGGTTCTGCATGTCTTAAAAACCAAGGAACCGGGTCTGTATTCTGTCATCTTTTCAAAAATATTGGTACAGTGAACAGCTTGAATGTCAGAGAAAATGTCTCTCTCTTGAGCGCAGGTCAAGTCTGCTTACTGATAGTGTGACAAAGACAAACACTCTACACTGTGGTAGGCTGAGAAGATGGCCACATAAAATCTGTGGCCTACTAGTGTACAGCTTTATTCCTTAGGAGATCAGTTCAGAAACTGCTGGTGACCTTATTGCTACAGCTATGACTATTTTTGAATAATAAGTCATCTTTAGTATGTTCACCAAAATGAAGAATGAAATGTTTCCATTCCTTTAGGCCTCTCAAGTAGCAAAAATTTTTATGTTGGTACATAGTTTATAGAATTGTAATTTTATTAGTCAAATGATGTAACTTATAATGTAAATATCCATACACTTGTATGACATTTTTATGCTTTAAAATTTTAAAACAATAATTTGTAAGTGTCTCAATAAACATTTTTGTGCCCAGTTTTTCTTCTCCCACTTGTGTGAGTGATATATGCACATGTATGTGAGTCCGTGTACCCATGTGAACAAAAGGACAGAGGGGGAAATCAGATGTCCTGCTGTCACTCTCCATCGTATTCCCTTGTGATAGTCTCTTACTGAACCTGGAGCCAGGCTTGGCAACCAGCAAGCCCCAAAGATCACCTTGTCCCCCATACCAATGGGGTTACAAGGGCATATGGGAGCAATGCTTCATTGTTTTTTTTAATGTGGAAACTGGATGTTTGAACTCAGGTCCCCATGTATCCAGCTCCTTTTTACTTTTTTTTCTTCTTCTTTTTTTTTTTTAAATTTTGATCTAGACTTAACAAACTTCTTCTGTTAAGGACCACACAGAAAACATTTCATGCTTTGGTGGGTGAATGGTCTACATTCAACTGCTCAACTCTACTAGATCCATCTCGAACTCAGCCACAGACAACAGATAAATAGGTGGGACTGTGTGCAATAATATTTTATTTACAGACACCCACAGTTGGGTTCCAAATACTTTACCTATGCTATAAATTATTTAAGCTTTTTAGACAAGCTGTATAAACATAGGCGGTTAGTCTGGTGTGACCTGCCAGCTCTAATTTGCCTATCTGTTGTGAATGTTTTTTTTAAGATATATGTTCAGAAATGAATTGAATGGGTTAAATTATACACTGTTGCAGAGTGATATTAATGTCAAATTATATTTTTAATGGCATAAACAATTTCTTTTCCTCTTTTTTTTCTCATCAATAAGAAATAAATCCTTCAGGGCGTTGGTAGGGCATGCCTTTAATCCCAGCACTCGGGAGGCAGAGGCAGGTGGATCTCTGTGAGTTCGAGGCCAGCCTGGTCTCCAGAGCAAGTGCCAGGATAGGCTCCAAAGCTACACAGAGAAACCCTGTCTTGAAAAACCAAAAAAAAAAAAAAAAAAAAGAAAAAAAAAAAAAAAAAAAAAGAAGAAAAAAAAGAAAAAAAGAAAAGAAAAGAAGAAAGAAATCTTTTGGTTCTGTCTCCCTCTACAGAAGCAACCAACACAGCAGGCCAGAATCTGAGTGGGGATGAGAGCATGGTCTGTCAGTGGTGAGCAGTTTGCTCCTCAATAGTGACTGTTAACACCCCTGTTCCACTTCTGCAGAAGGAGACACTAAAATCCTGTCCTTCCAGCAAACTCTGTGTTCTAGCCTCTTTCTGACAGCAGGAAAGTGTGAGAAGGGAAACACTGTGGTGGACAGAACAGGACAGAGACACTGTCCATAGGAAGTTGGGAAGTCACAAGGAGTACAAATGGGGAAATAAAAATCTATTCCAAAAGGAAAATGAAAATTCATAGAGAACAACATATTAGGTGTTCATAAAAGCCATACCCATCTTTTACAAGACCATTTCAAACATTTTAGTTGAAACAAAAAGGTTCAACAATGGCAAGAAAAAAATATAAAATGGAACATTAGCCAAGCATGGTAGATATGCCTGTAACCACAGCACTTGAGGGCTGAGGCAGTAGGTTTGTAGGATTGAAAGCAGTCTGCACTAGAGAGTGAATTCTAGCTTAGCTTGGGCTACACAGTGAGAACCTATCTCAAGAAAACACCAGAACTAAACACAACAAACAACACAAAAGAATTTTACATGGCAGCCACATGGAATTTCCCTTTCTTTCTCTTAAAAAGAAGACATCATTTGTTTGAAGTGTTTTGGGGAGAGTGGGGCTGCATTCAAGCCACAGTATACGCATGAAGGTCACAGGACAACACTGGATGTTGGTCCTAGCCTTCCACTTTGCTTGAGACAGGGTCTCTTGTTCATCACAGCTGCATATGCCAGACTAGCTGGCAATGAGCTTCCAGGGATTCCTGTCTCAACCTCTTTCCTTACAGGAGCACTAAGATCACCCATGGATACTGTTGCATCTGCCTTTACATGGGTGCTGAGGATCTGAACACAAGACTTCAAGCAGCAAGAGCTTTAGCCACTGAGCCAACTCCACAACCCAACAGGAATACTTCTCAGAAATGTAGTTTGAGTCATAGACAAGAAACAGAGGATATATACATATATATATAATGAGACACAAATCCCCCCCTTCTCTCTCTCACACACACATACACACACGCTCACATAAAGTTAGAGAATGAGCTAAATCAATTCTGTTCACAGAAGGCTACAGGCTGCCTTATGAAGGGATGCTGACTGGCCTTAGGCATGCAGAAGAGCCATCTAGGTACTGAAAAATGTTGACTATTGATCCAAAGAGGCAGTTAAACAGGACAAGACACACATCAAAATGCTCAATGTACACTTATGAATGGATATTATACCTCAAAAACATTTCTGAAAAATGAGTACCCATCTTCAAGAAATTTACAGCAAAAGGTAAGCCACATATGTCATAGAAAACAAATCCATAGTTGAGGACTTAAGAAACCATATAAAATAGCTTGGAATTAAAATCTTCATTCTTTATCAGAAATAGTCTTCATGGGGGCGGTAATCTGGAAAGCTAATGTATGAAATGAGCATGATGGTGTATATTTGTAATGTCAATACTTGGGAGACTCAGGCGGACTAGTAAAGTCTTATCTCAAAAAACAACCAGAAACAATGAATAGGTAAGTATTATTTATAGACACTTAGATAATGAATGTTTTCCTTTTCTCCCTCCTTATCCTTAAAAAGAAAAAAAATTCAGTTATCCAATTGCTCCCAACTCCCAGAAACCAGCAAGATGGTGGAAGTGGAGCAGAAGAAGAAACAGATTGTCTTCAGGTTCACCTACCATGGTGTGGACCTGAATCAACTGCTGGCTATGTCCTATGAGCAGCTGATGAGCTGGACAGACCCCACCTGTGGTAGCACGGGAGCAGGACTTCCTACTCAAGCACCTGAGAAAGGCCATGAAGGAGGTGCCACCCATGGAGAAGTCCCAGGTGGTGAAGAACTGCCTGAGAAACATGATCATCCTGCCTGAGATGGTAGGCAAGATTACCGGCTTGTATGACGGCAAGACGGTGGGCACGTATGACGGCAAGACCTTCAAGCATGAAGAAATCAAGCTAAAGATGAGTTCTCCATCACCTACACACCCGTGAAGCACAGCTGGCCTGGCACCAGTGCCACCTACTCCTCCTGCTTCACCCCTCCAAGAAACCATGGCACAAAGACTCATGTTTAGTCCCTGAGGGAAAAGAAATCCAATTATGACCTAAAACGAATAATCCTGAAGAAAAAAGCTCCACCAAGGCAGCTTCCATGATGTAGGTAAGAGAGTAAATTCTGTTTGCTCTGGTCTGAAGATGCCAGCTGGCTACTGCTTTCAGATGAGTGCCAAATTTTAAGAAGACACTTAGAAACAGAAATGTAGGTGATCAGCAAAAAGTGCCACCACCCCCAAAGGACAGCAAGTCTCTGAGATCTAAGCAGAGAAAATAAATGCAGGATGGGCTCTGTTGTTGTGAAAGGACACAAGAGAAGCATCATTGGCCTATCTTACCAAGGAAAAGCCACATTCACAAAGAGGAGAGGCCAGAAAGCAAGTATGTGTATATGCATACTGCCATAGTCTGTAACTGTGCGCAGTGTTCTAACTGTGGTTATCTGAAACACTGAGACCCACAATCTCAGTTACTGCTGGAACTGAGATCTTGAGAAATCTCATGCCATCAAATGCAGACATAGGAAAAAGATGCCTTTTTATTTGTTAAGGAAAATCTGAGCCAGGTTTTATGGTACATGCCTGTAGTCCTAACTTTGGGGATTTAGAGGCAGGAGAATCATGAGTTCAAGGTCAGCACTAGGTATTTATGTAAGAAAGGCTCAATGTGTTTATGTGCATACTCAATGTTTGCATGGAGTCTAATCTGAAAAATAAGCAAATAAAATGAATCGAGACATTCTAAGAGGCATTATATAACTTATACCTCCAGTATTAGAGATAATGGATAAGTGTGTGTCAGGGGAACATAACTATAAAAAACACACGGACACACAAAAAGAACCCAATACATTATATAAAACACTGTTGACACTTTAAAATAGTAGATGGGCTGGGCGTTGGTGGCGCACGCCTTTAATCCCAGCACTCGGGAGGCAGAGGCAGGCGGATCTCTGTGAGTTGGAGGCCAGCCTGGTCTCCAGAGCGACTGCTAGGATAGGCTCCAAAGCTACACAGAGAAACCTTGTCTCGAAAAACCAAAATAAAATAAAATAAAATAAAATAGTAGATGGAAAAATAAGTAAAGATTCAAATATAAACTGCCCCTAAAGCTGAAAAGAATATCCGGCATGTAAAGAAGTATGCGACATGAACAGACTGTGGACAAAAGCTTGTCAGTTGTTCCTGATCTTTACTGATCGATCACAAGCGTATCTGAGGGTCTTGAATTGTGATGAACAGCAGCTTATTTTTTTCAAGGGTGCAGTCTTGATGTTCTTACACAGTCTCTGCATGGGGCTATTCTTTGTAAAGCTCCTCGAATCCATATATACCAACACAAGCATTCCTAATTAAATGTTCCCATCCTCAGTTCTCCCTTGAGTATGTGGAAAGCCATTCCTCATGCACTTGTATCCAGACCACACGTCTGGCAGAACAGCAATGATGATGGAACAGCACTATTGTTGCCTGAGTGTCTTTATATACTGCCATGCACTTCCTAAGTAGTTGGTAACATTGCTGGCTTCCTCCAGCAAGGAGGCTTTCATCCACTAAAAGTTCCTGGAGCTACATCAGCTAGAATGAATGCCAGTGCAGATAAACAAACACTGGAAGGCCAAGCCTTTTCCCAAAATTCAATGTTCTACTTTTCTTGCATGGCCTTTTCTCCATGAGAGAGAGAGAGAGAGAGAGAGAGAGAGAGAGAGAGAGAGAGAGAGAGAGAGAGAGTGTATGTCTGTGTCTGTGTGTTACATGCATGATTGTGGGGGAATTTGTTCCTATGTATATGCAGAGGCCACTCAAGAAGCTGATGTCTTCCTCTATCATTCTTCTCCCTGAGACAGGCTCTCTCACTGAATCCAGCTGCTGCTTTGGCTGGGCCGCACTCACTGTAAGATAACATGGAGATGCATGTTGGAATCCATGCACTGACAGACATCCTTCAGACATGTCTCCTTAGAATTTGCTTTGTGACACTCTGTCATGTCGCACGGTGACACTCACTGTCTGCCCATTTCTGACATACTTCTTCCACTATTACATGAGCTTCTTGATGCAAGCAGTCAGATCATCACTGTAATCTCTGCGTGCCTGACCCTTAAACAGGCAGTCAGATATTTTCTGATTCAGTGAGCAAACAATAAAATTTACACTTCAGGCCAGACACATTTAAAATGTTCCTAAAATTCCTGTTTTAAGCTGGGTCAACTGAAAAGACTGGCACATTTTAGGATGGTTACAAGTTTGAAGTTTTGTTGAGAATGCTCTTTCAGAGCCAGTGAGATGATCAGTGTGAGTAAACGCACTTGCCCACAAGCCTGGTGAGGTCCAAGCCCAGAACCCATGTGATGGCAGGACAGACCCACTCCCACAAGCTGTCCTCTGACAGCCACACATGCCAGGTATATGTACCCACAAATAAATAACTGTAAGGAAGAACAGATTTTCACATTTGATTAGTCTATCATTATAAAGTAGAATAAGGTTGCTAATTGACTCACACATCATATTACATGACTTAAAATCAGCAATGCAAAAATAGACATCTTAATATGTTCAAAATAACTTATATTTTTCCTCTCAGAACTGGGATATTTTAGAGAAGTGCCCTTATAAAGGAACTTACTTACGTATAATACCACTGTCGTTAAGAAGGTCAAATGAAACAGTCTACAGCCACTCCAAGAACTTGGTGTCCTCGAGTGCAAACATACAATTTAAAAGTATTTTTATTCATAAATTATATATTTTGCATCATGTTATTGGATACAGCTGCTCCAGCCTAAATGATCCCTGTATAATTAACTTACTTTCTTCTCCTTGTCAACAACCATAAGCAAGATAAAATTATATTATTCAAACTTGAAAAGGATCTGAACTAGCTGAGCATATCTCTGTTACATGGAAGTACTTCTTTTATGACCATTTGTACAGACTTTACTTGGAGACTGTAAATTCTGTCTTCTACCCCCGGCTCACAGGGCACTACCCTTAACCGTGTATCTCTGCAAACAAGGACTGAAGCTGCGGCAGCACTTACCAACCAGTACCTGACCGCTCTTCATGGCAGAGCCTCCTGGTGACAGGCCGTGTACCACCAGCCTCTCCCCATTGGCCTGCTTCCCGCTCCTTCTCCAGCTCCACTTGGTCTGATGGATGATTCCTACCAGCACTTCCAGGAGTTTGAGCTGCTCCCTGGCTTTGATGACCGTTAGCTTTTTGGGGTTAATATAGATTGTCACATCCTTGTACCGCTGTTGCACAGTAACCCCGGTCTTCTGGTTGGACTGATGCTTCAGAATGGACACCGGCCCATTGTCACTGCTGTTCTTTTTGTGGTAGCGCTTAGGTAAAAGTTTTTTGCTTTTTAAGATTTTGGTGAAGCGCTTAAGCTTGGGTTCATACTTCTTTCTTTCTCTGGTGTCATCTTCTTCAATGATGACCTCCTTTTCACTGAACCTGACATGGTTCACAGTCTGTGTCTCCGGAAGGAGGCTTTCTTCCTCATCCTCACTCAGTTCCAGGTAAAACAGCTCTCCATTCCTCTGCACACTGTCCAGCCACTCAGGCTCCAGATCACTGTGTGAGAGAGGAAAGGTCACCTGAGAAAGCTCATCCAACATGAGAAAGACAGCCCCACTTTCCTGTGTGGGAGGGGCAGTAGGCTTGGTAGTAGAGATTGGGGGGAGGAATTGTTTTAAAGAATGGGGGAGGGAATCAAACAGGCAGAGTAATACCAAAGAAAATCAATAAAAGGGGAAAGGAAAGAACCTTTTCTATGATCTATTGGACTATACCTTTTAAAAAATAATTCTGGCTCACACCTGCAATTCCAGCACTTAGGAAACTGAGGCAGGAGGACTGTCATGAATTCAAGGTTAGCCTGGACTACACAGTGAATTCCTGGTTACAAAGTGAGACCCTGTCTCAAAAAACAAAAACAAAGCAAAACAGTAACAACAAAACTAATTCAAAGGCTAGGAAGACAGTTCAGCGGGTAAGGAATTTACGGCACAACCATGAGGACCTGAGTTCAGATCCCCAGTGCCCACATAAAAAAGCCAGACTCAGGGAGGACACTGCATAGTGGTGTCCTCTGAATTGACATGTTCCCTCTATGAAGGAAGGGGAGGCTCACAAGATTCAGGAGATAAAGAAAGTGTCACACATCTGGGAAAGTAAAATCTTGAAAATTCTACAAGGCCCAGCTTTACAGAAAGCAGGAACTGCCAGGGAAGAGACTAAACAGCAGCTGCAGAGGGAGATACTTGGGCCTGTGGAGTTGCCTACATGCTGTGTGCAGGACTCTAGGGCTTCAGTTTCTCAAGTCTTCACATTTTCTGGGGTGACACACTTGCTTTTGAGTTGTCCCTGCCCCTTGTTTTTTTTTTTTGTTGTTTGTTTGTTTGTTTGTTTGTTTTTTTCCGAGACAGGGTTTCTCTGTGGCTTTGGAGCCTATCCTGGCACTTCGCTCTGGAGACCAGGCTGGCCTTGAACTCACAGAGATCCACCTGCCTCTGCCTCCCGAGTGCTGGGATTAAAGGCATGTGCCACCAATGCCCGGCTTTTTTTCCCTGCCCCTTCCAAGTAACCCCTTATAACTCCTGTTAGTGACCCTCACAAACTCCCACTGACTCACCAAGTCTACTCTGCAGTGAGTAAATACATGTGTTGTGTCTTCTCAGAAAAAAAAAATCCCTCACACAACAATATGGTAGGTAGCACATGTCTAGCTCAAAGGGTGAGCTTCAGGTTCAGTGACAGACTCTATCTCAATAAATAAATAAATAAATAAATAAATAAATAAATAAATAAATAAAATAAGGTAGAGTGCAATAAAGGACCACCAGCATCAACTTCTGGCTTCTGCATGTACAGACCTGGGCAAGTATACCCATATTCACAAACATGCTTGCACACACACACACACACACACACACACACACACACACCACTAATCCAGCCACTGTGTGGCTATAGCTTACTTTGGACATCTCAGAATTTGCACCAGCCACTGAAAGTGTGACCGAATCCACAGAAGCCAGCTGTCTGGAAACCACCTAACTGCATGGGGAGCACTTGGGATTGCTTCAGGCTAGAACAAAGCTATGCATCACGTACTTTGTTTAGATAACAGTTTTTAGAAAAGCAGCATTCATCTTTCCACAAACTGCAACCATGGCTGAAACTAACCAGTTATAACCATAGCTCATAATGAACCTAGCTATAACCTATAATTTCTGCACAACTCCTCATTAGCAGTAATAGTAAGAAAAGTGAAGCCCACACTTTACATAATTCATCCCGTGGCTGTAAATGAGGATAGATGGGAAGTTGGTTGTTAAATAACCAAATTATTGAAATTAAAATGGAAACAGCATTAAACAGCAACAACACCCACACTGTGGCAATAAACTGATCATTCTGTCCTCTTTGGAGTCACAGTCTGCCTCCCGAGCTGCTGTTTTTAAAAGTGATACTGGTTTGCCACCATGTGAGGAGAGTCTTTAGCTGAGCACCTGGCAGGAAAGGGTGTAATCTGTGTTCCAATCATTCACCCAACAGAAGTCTTCTTTGCTTTCTTGAGTGTTTATTAGCAACTCTGATTCTTTAATTAAATTTTTATGATGTACTGCTTTCTGAATACTATGAAAATCAGTCCCCAAAATATCCTATCCTATTAAGGCTATGGTCTATATAGCTGGTTAGTAACAGAGACTTTTCAAGTGTACATTAGTCATTAAAAAAAAAAAAATAAAGATAGAGGTGGCTAAAAACACCAAAACTAACACTTCCCTGGTCTAGTTGGTTCCCAATAGTTGGCATCACTTTAGATGCCCAGTATCATTCAGATTTCCAGCCACATATATTGGCAGTTTCAACCTCACCAAACCTTGAAGAAGTTAGTGTTTAACATTTCACAGCTCTGCTCTGAAGATTCCAAATAGCTGTGTGCTTACTGTAAGCCTTTAGGTGACAAGTGAGCAATAGTCTTTTTTAAATTTATTTTTATTTCATGTGCATTGGTGTTTTGCCTGCATGTATGTCTATATGAGGGTGTTGTGTCTCCTAAAACTGAAGTTACAGACAGCTGTGAGCTGCCATGTGGGCACTTGGAATTGAACTCAGGTTCCAGGTCCTCTGGAAGAGCAGTCAGTGATATTAACCGCTGAGCCATCTCTCCAGCTCGTGAACAATAATCTTAACTGATACACTGGACAGTATGATCAGGTGTCACTATGGTCTGGCTATGAAGTGTCCCCAAAACACTTATGTGTTAATGCTTGGTCCCAGGCAGTGAGCTACAGAGAGGAAATCATGAGGGTACTATTCACTGATGAGTTCACAGGTAAAAGGGCTGTTAGGAGGCAGGGGGTAACTAGGAGCATGCCTCTCAAACTATACTCTGTCCCCTGCCCTAGCATGCACATGCCCCCCCCCCCCATGGCTGCCATGAGGAGAGCAGCTTCCCTCTGCCATCATGCACTGTTTCACCCACAGGCCCAGATAAGAGCGAAGCAACTATTTCTTTGAAATCAGGATACAAAATAAATCCTCTTTGATTAACTAACTTGTCACAGTGTTGAGAAGTGATGGATGCCTAGTAACTGAGATACATATCAGTTTCAACAACAGATGGTTTGCTTTAACATCTCATCCTTTTAGTTTGCTGTGTTCTTTGTATTAGATTCGTGAGCACTTTTTCATTTCATTACTTATATAAGGCTGGCTCATCTTAACCTGTAATATCTAAACATGAACTCACCTTTTGGTTATGATTTAAAGATCCATGTGGGAAGAAAGTATAGCACACCAAGCCCTGTGGCAAATAAAAACAACTCTGCTGTAATATCTAGATGGCTCAGCAGGCAGAAGTGCTTGCTGCTAAGCCTGACAACCTGAGTTTGATTCCTAGGACCCACATGGTAGAAGAAGAGAATGGACTCCACAAAGTTGTTCTCTGTTCTCCATACATGCTACATGACACATATGTACTTGCATGTACACACTTGCAAATATACACAATAATAGCAAATAAAACACAAAGTTACCTTTGCTTTGAGGGAAAGAGAAGCTGAGAAAAAAACCATGATGGTGCATATGGGTGGTAGAAGACAGAGGCATAAAAGGCTAAATGGTTGGGGAGAGTTAGGAAGGAAAAGAAAACCAGGACTTAACAACTAGCTCCAATAGAACAGGGCACATATTGCCTTAAGCAAGAGATGGATGCTGGGAGATCAAGCATGGGCTGAGAAACTGTCACAAACCACAGGAGACTAAGGAGAACTGATGACGAGCAGCAACATGATATGCTGGGTGGAATCCTGGAACCAAAACGGAACAGTAATAGAAGAGTGGTAACATCTAAATGAAGTTTGGAGTCAGCTCACAGACCAACATTAACTTCTTACTGGCAAGCGAGTAACAGCTGAGTAAGATGTTAGCGTCACAGAGAAAGGGTTTTATGGGGAGCACAGGAGCACCTTTGCAACTTTCTGTAAGTCAAAAATTAACCCTAATTAAAAAAAAATCTTTTAGAAAGGGAATTAAATCTAGCTATTTCAATTCATACTTTTGTAGTGCAGACCTCAAAAGTTAGCAATAAGGTACTTTTAACATCCCTGAGACCTCATTGCACAAGCTAGGAAGTTCTCACTGTGTAATGTTTCTTGTGAAAGTCACTGATGTTTATTTTACTTTTTTCTAATCAAAAACAGCCTTAGGTTTACAGGCTGCTTACAAGGCCTAAGGGTGCTTAATTGGTTTCCAAAACCCTTAGTAATAAAGTATACAGGAGCAGCATCCTGCCCAGAAAAAAAGATCAATTAATGTGAAAACAACACATCCATTTACAGCTGCATGATAACATATCAAAGGAAATGAACTTGAGATAATGCTAATAGCTCCCAATTCCTAATGTAGTCCTAAATGCTGGGTTTATAGGTATGGTGGCCCCTTAGACTCATGTCTTCGAATGCTTGGCCCATAGGGAATGGTACTATTAGGAGGTGTATGTAGCCTTGTTGGAGAAACTGTCACTATGGAGGCAGGTATTTTGGTCTCAAATGCTCAAGTTACACCCAGTGTAGTACACAGTTCTCCTTCTGCTGCCTGTGTGTCAAGATGTAGAATTCTCAGCTCCTTCTTTAGCACCATGTCTGCCTGTATGCTGCCATGCTTCTCACCATGATGATAATAGACTAAACCTCTGAAATTGTAAGCCAGCCCCAATTAAATGTTTTCTTTTATAAGAGTTGCCAAGGTCATGGTGTCTCTTCATAGCAAGAGAAACCCTAAAGTAATAGAAAACATTTTATATTCCCTTTCTAAAAGTTACATGACTTTCTTAGGTCTTCATTAGCATTAATGTCAGGGTTTTTTTTTTTTTTTCATCCTTTGAAATAGCTTGGCAATTTCCTAACCACTGCAAGAAGATCCCCACAACATGTACCCTGATCTGCACATTTCCTCATTTAAGTAAAACAGACATTTGCAATATCCCAAATAATTACATCCTGCTCTCTTGAGAAAAGTACAATGCATTTTACCAAAGCAGTCACTATGTATTTGTAATAAGA